ATGATCAAAGGCTTGTTGTCTCCTCTTACTACAAATGTAGCTCCTCCGCCTGAGCCAGGTTTTTCGTTAGAATTCGGTCTTCCCCCTCTTTGACCAACAAGTATACGAATGATCTCATCTTTGGTCAACATAAAGTTTCCAATCATCCGCGCCCCTCTTCCTCCGTTGATGACACTGTCCTTAATGTACCCCCCTGAGGCTCCTATTGTTTCTATTTTGTATTCACCAGTGTGTGGCACAGTCCACAATTGAATACCGCTTGACACTGTAACCTGTCCGTCATGATCCTGACCTTTGTAGTGACTGCCAACTGAGTCTGGACCCTCTGTTCCACTCTTACCAAGAGTTGTAAAAACAGCTTTAAATCCTTCATAAAACACATTAAATAAAAGTCAAAGTTATGATACTAGTAAGAAATTGTTATAAATAAATTACTTTTGGTTCTGCCAACACAGGAAAACCCGCTAAAAAGATCTGTTGTTTTGGGGGTTCAAGTTGATTTTGCTCTTGTATATCGGGTATTTTCTGCAAAACCAGCCTGAAAATGTTCTGCAGGTGTTTTTAAAATTGTTCTAAAGATTAAATACTGCATAGACTATCAACATATGAAATCAATGTACAAGCACAACATTTTCATTAATCCATAGATGGAACTGACCTTCACTACATTAATCAAGGCAATAATATTACATTGGGGGAGGGGTAGCAGTTCTGGTGATAAACAACTCGAAACTCAGCTAAAGTCAAACAAATTCAAAATGCGCCAGCCCCCCCTCTCTCTTTCCATGTAACTTTTGACTGGTCCCTAATCCTACAAGCAAACTGAGAGAGCAAAACAGTCAATATTCAGTTTCTTAAATACCCAGTCTAATTATCAGTCTAATTATCAGTCTAATTATCAGATCCATTGAACCAATACTTGGGGTGAGATCTTTGCATCATCAGAGCCATCTGCTGTTAGCAAACAGTCAGTTTTCTAAAACAGTCTCTGGAAAAAGGTCTCATCATTACTAAACTCACTTCACGCCTCCCCAGTCCATTGGTTCATCAAGATCCTTCTATTCTTTGCTGAAAGTCTATCCTGCCATTTATCGAGATTGTTCTCCTCTTCCAGCCATGTTTCCATTGCTGCACCAATTTTACCTTTCATCATCCGACCACATCCTGCATCAATGGACTGGATTTTGTCAGTGTGGTTTTCAGGAAGCATGTAAACTGTAGTGTTGATCTGATTTCTACATGTTTCAAGGAATTGTTGACTTTGCTGGAAGCCGACATTGTTTGCAAATAGGACTTTTTCTTGTTTGTCTTTCTCTATTTCTGGAATAAGTGTACCCTGGACCCACTGCATGTTGATCTCTTCATCCATCCAGGCATTTTGCTGGAAATACACATCAACCCTCTTGTCATACTTTTCTTTCTCCTCAGTGGCCACACGCCCTTTTCCTCTGAAGATAAGAGCTGGCTTCACGTTTTGTTCCCCATCAGCCCCAATACAAAGTTGTAGAGTAGCCTGTCGTTTATCTAAACCAGATGATGGTTGTGACACGCACAACTGCTTAGCACCCAATCTTGCTTATTAAAAAATGGGAGAGGAACGTAGTCGATATTGTATCTATTTTTAGATATCCATCTTGCATACTTTGGGTCAACGGTATAGGACTTGTTTCTTCTCCTCTGTGTTTTCAAGGCTTCAATCCCTGTGGAATTTCTGGATCGCATCCCAGCCATCATCTGCCCAGACTTTTTTCTTGTTGGTCCTTCTCCTCAGTACTATGTTGTGTCTTTCCTTGAATCTGTGGAATCAGTTGTTGCTTCCTTTAAATTTTGCAGCTTCTGCCTACGCCACGGCATGCTTCGATTTTCGATTTCATTTTTTTTTAACCAAAGTTTGGACACTTTGCTTCCTGCTGCTCTCCGTAGTTTAAACTCGGCAATTAAAAGATTGGAAGCCAGAGGACATTAATCAGTGCGTTGGGATCTGTTCCCAGCGATCCTTCTCCTTTGTCTCATTGGCCTTGTTTTTCTTCGTCATGGTCAGAGTCAGTTCTGCAAGAATTTTGCTTTTGTTTTTTTCCCGCTTAATCACCAGCGATCTGTTGACTCCTTGTTGCTTTGCAACTGTTTTGTATTTATTATCCAAAAGATCCAGTGTTTTTTTATGAAATCGACGGTGTAGGACTTTCGCTTGTTTCTT